ATAAGAGGGGGTCTGTGGCTGGGGGGAAGCCCAGGTCCTGGGTGTCAGAAGGAAGCTGGTGCCAGCAGCTGGGGGAAGGAAGGCCTACTCTTGCATGAATTACATGCATTGGGCCTCTAAGAAATCACAGAGATAAAGAAAGCTTGTGATCATGTTTGTCTCTACAGGTTTGAGTGGACTTTCCTGCTTTCTTCAGAGCCATAAAAGCAGGAAAACCCTGCTATATACTAGTACATAAAACCCTAATATGCAAATAGACTGAATGGCAGAACAATGGATCACTATGATGCGAGCTGACCACTAGGGGGCACATGCGGAACATGGCAGGCGTCAGCAACAGGTGGCAGAGCACGGAACATGATGGGCATCAGCCGTGGTGGGATGGTGGAGCAGATGAGCGGGGGCTCAAGACCAAGTGGGGTGCCAGTCGCTGTCATCAGGTGAGCTGCTGGTGGTTACTGAAAATCCTTTGCTCCCGGGCACCAGGGTCCCACCCAGCACTCACACCTGCTGCTGGCACTGGCCCCGCTAGCACCCGCTGCTAGAACCTGGTGCAGGACCCAAATGCTTAGCACTGTCAGTGGGTGCGAGCGGCGGCTGCAGGCCCTGATGGCCCATCAGGGCTTCTCCACCTCCCCCTGCTCCTGAGGGGCAATCGGGGCAGCAGCCACCACTCGCACCTGCTGATGGCACCAGCCCCGCTCACACCTGCTGCTGGTGCTGGCCCCAATCACTCTGTGTGGTCAGCGGGTGCGAGCAGGGCCAGTGCTGTCGGCGCATGGGAGCGGGAGCAGCAGCAGCGGCGGCAGCAAGGCTGCTGGCAGACAGGGGACCAGGGACCAGGGCGGGAGGAGCCGGGGGGGATGTGGAGGATGGGCTGAGACCCACCCCTGTGCCCACCCCAGCCTCAGGGCCCACAGTTCCTTTCAAGGTGCACAAATTCGTACACTAGGCCCCTAGTTTCATTATAAACCAGGAGGAAGGAGGAAAAAACCATTTCAAAGATACACATATTATGATACCCAATACCAGAGAGAGAGAGAGAGAGAGAGAGAGAGAGAGAGGGGGAGTGTGTGTGTGTGTGTGTGTGTGTGTGCTACAGGCCCGGTGCACAAAATTCGTGCACCAGGCAGGGGTGTCCCTCAGCCCGGCCTGCACCCTCTCCCATCTGGGACCCCTCAGGGGATGTCAGACTGCCTCTCTCAATCCTAGACCACTGGCTCCTAACCGTTCACTTGCCTGCCTGCCTGACTGCCCCTAACTGCTCCCTTGCTGGCCTGATTGGCCCTAACTGCCTCTGCCTTGCCCCGCACCCAGGACCCAGAATTCTCTCCTCTGGTCAGTCGCAGGGACCCAGGACCTGGGCCAGCTTCGCCCAGGCCGGCCACAGTTGCAGGGGACTGTGGGCAGGCGGCTTTGCCCCAGCCGCAGCTACTGGTGCCTGGGACTGCAGGGCAGGCGGCTTGTCCCTCTCCCAGGCTGCAGCCTGGCTGGTCCCCATTCCTCTCTCTCAGTGTTGAGTGTCTGAGTAGTTCCCACGTGAGGTTGTGACAACCATTTGCATATTAGCTCTTTATGATATAGGATATACATGTATGTGTTTGAAGATAGTCAGAAAAATCTGGAAGATATTCACCAAATTATTAAGTGTTACATATCTCTATAGGGAGTGGAATTTCAGACAAGGACATTTGAAGAAACTTTCAGAAGATATAGAAACTTTGTTGCTATAAATTTAATAATATTTAGTTGCCTGCAAATGAGCAGATAATGTTTATTTTTCCTCATTAGCTTGTTTCTTTGCTTCACATATATAAAGTACATAGGTTCACAGACCCAGATCAATATCCAATTTAAAGCCAGGTAGTAAAGGAAGTGTAAATCAGTTTTGTGCTCTGTGGCAACACTTCCTAACTCCACATTCATCCATCTTTTCTGTCTCCAGAAGTCAGCCAGCAGCTGTCATCTCTTTAGTTCAATTGCTTTGGGCAGTTCGATTCAATCAACAGGTTCCTGCATACTGGTTTCTTCATTAGCAAATAAACTTGACTGCTTTTTTGAGAAATATGTGCCCTCTATTGTAAATGTGCTCAAAACAAACAAAACACAAAACTTGGAGGGAAGGCTCTCTTTACTAATTTTTGATATTTGAAAAGGGCATCATTTGTTAGCGCTGAGCATTCCTAGTTGGAGAACCCCCATCACAGCCGAATGGGAGCTTGTTGAAAATGGGTGCTTTGTGTCAGTCATGAACTTAATGCTTAAACTAAATCCAGAATTTAAAAGCATTAAGATACAAAGTCCCCAAATTCTAGGCACCTGGTATTCCAGAAACGTTAGACTACCAGAATCATGTTCAACATTATAAACATGATAGGCACTTTAATAATCCATTTCAGATGATTATATCTATCAGGCCCTGGCCAGTGTTCTAACTTGTGGTTAGAACACCACAGGTTCGCTTCCTGGTCAAGGGCCAGGGCACAGGCGAATGTTCTAACCACAGGCCAGGGCACATCAGTAGTTTCTTTTTTTAATATATTTTTTTATTGTTGATCGTATTACAAATATCTTCCATTTTCTCCCCCTTCTCCCCATCCTCCCAGCCCCTACCTACCTCCCCCCACCCAGGTCCTCACTACCCTATTGCCCATGTCCATGGGCTATGCATGTAAGTACATAAGTTCTTTGGCCCATCAGTAGTTTCTTGTTCATTGTAATGAAATGTCACCTCTACCCAAATAATAGGAAGGCATTGCTTTTTTTTAAAATTTTTCATGAATGAACAGTTTCCATATCCAAGGATCCATGGTATCAGCTATAGACAGGCTCTAGGTTGGTTCAGAAGTCATACAAGCACCAGAAGATGCTCAATTTCTGATCTTCAAGTTGCTGCAGCCAACCTTTCAACAATTCCAAACTGCTACGAATATCCATGAAACTCAGCAGAAATGAGGACTGGTCTTAAACTTGACCACTGGGAACTTTGATGAGTTCCCAGGCGACTAGTTATGGGACCCTATTATTTAAAAATGGGGACTTGATTTCTATATAGTTGTGCATTATATAGCAACATACATAATTGCAGGCAAGACTTTTTTATTCAAGTGCACATCTTTTAATCCCTAAGAACCTGAATTCAGAAAGGATTCCACATTCTTCCATCCTTTACAAAGAGGCATAAACACTGTTATTTGAACAAGGAGACTGCCAACAAATGTTTATTGGCCCTGCTATCGACAAGCACCGTGGCAAGGAATACACTAGAGAAATGACCTCTGTCGCTGAGTAAATAGTGAGATTGACCTGACACTGTGTCTCTAAAGTACAAAGTAACACCAAAGGATGATGTAAGGTCCGGAAGCACAGTTTCCAAATGAGGAACATCAGGCTGGACAGGTGGGGCTGCTCACCCAAAGACCCACAGCGGGGAGAAGTGACCCAGCCAGGACTCAGCTCCAGTTTTCTAAAACCGAGCCCATTGCCCGCCCACCCCCCTAAAATGTTGGTGGAAGTGTAGACATATACATTCAGTCTGTGGAATTTCCAAGGAAAGAGAGAGACTAGTCACAGTTTAAATAAAGAGTATCTATTGCATTTTAAAGAAAATTATAAGCACAATCCAATCTCCAGGGTAGGTCATTCAGTTTGTGAGCATGACTACAGAAAAAAAAACTTACATAAAATATATGTATCATGTGTTAATGGTGACAGAATATATTTCTAAAAACAGAACATCTGCAATTTTTGACTGATGACTGCTGATGGGAAATCCATGCCACTGTCCAGTGCTGGCCTCAGGCTCAGCAGGATGTGCTCATGGCTAGGAGGTTAGTACAGGGACCCCTACAGCAGGGGACAGAGGTCCCTGAGGCACACAGGGTCACTGCACCACAGGGAAGAGAGAGCTGGAGATCTGGCATAATCTCTGTGTGGCCTTCCTTGAAATAACTTGTCATTCCCA